TGATCCACTTCAAAAGGGTGTTCCTCTCCTGCACTGTCCCTTCACCCTCCAAAGCATGATGTCCTTCTCCAAGGACTGGTCCCTCCTTGAAACATGTCCAAAGCATATCAGACAAAGCTTCAGAATCTTTACCTCCAAGGATCAGCCTGGTTTAACCCTCTTTAGGATGAACATGTTCGTTTTCTTAGCAGTCCGTGGTATATTCAATACTCTTCTCCAGCACCACAGCTCAAAGGCATCAATTCTCCTTCTATCCTCCCTAGTCATTGTTCAGCTCTCTGATGCATAGCAAGTGATTGCAAAGACCATGGCCTGTATCAGATGCACCTTAGTCTCCAGAGAGACACCATTGCTCTTCAGTACTTTGGAGAGGTGCCTAACAGCTGACTTTCCCATCGCAATGCACCTTTTAATTTCCTGGCTGCTGGCGCCAAGAGTGTTGATTTTGGAGCCAAGCAAACTAAAGCTATTAACAATCTCAATCTCTTCACCATTCATCCTGATGCTGCCAATTGGTCCAGTGATGACAATATTTGTCTTCTAGATATTGAGCCTCAATCCATTTTCAAGACTGCATACTAAAGCTCTAGACTAAGACATTTCTTGAGTCTTCTGAATGATTTCTGGCAACCTTTGACATTCTGTGGTTCATGAAGACAGCGTTTTTCTTTCTGCCACCATCTATACAAGGTCCTTTTTTTTGCATGTTTCTCTTTTTAAGACCACCACGCATGTTGAGTAAGACAACCATTCCTTCTTCAGCATGAATTATAGATACTATCTTCAAAAACCTTGCCCAAAAGGTTCACATTCACAAAGTGCTGGGGGTAAGAACACATCTTTTGGAGGAAGAAAATTGTAGTAATAGTAGACTAGTTTGACGCTATGAACAACAGATCTGAACCTTGTCTTATCCTACACCATCTTCATAATCTCTGATACACTTAGTCTGTTCCTGTACTCATTATGTCAATCCATCTAGTTTGGAGTCTTCCTCCAAGCATGATATCCCTTTACAAGCTATAGCCACTCCTAGCAACATGCCCAAAGTATGTGAAACTAAGATTTATCACCTTTTCATTCTAGTTGCACCTACTCCAAGATGTACCCGTCCTGTTGACAGTTAGAGATATTCAGTATTTTTCTCCAATACCATAGCTCACATGCATCCATTTTTTGTTCTGCCACCCTCTTACATGTTCCAGCTCTCATATGCATAGAAAGTGACTGAAAAGACCTTGGCCTGAATCAAGCACACTTTGGTCCTTAAAATCATATCATTTCTATTCAATAATTTGGAGAGGTCACTCACTATAGACGTTCTCTTTTCAATATGTCTACTGATCTCCTAACTACTGGTACCAAGGACATTGAGTGTGGATCCAATTAAGATGAAGTTTTTGACAGTTTCAATTTTTTATCCATTTTTTATGATACTGCTTATTTAAGGTCTAATTTCAAGGCTTAAGGAGAAGTCAGAGGTAAATGTCTCAGAAGACCCTGGAGGGGAGATAACTATTCTCTTTATCATGATGCATTGAGAAGTAATGACTATAATTTTTAAATGATATCCTGCCAAACAAGTCAGTCTCTTGACATATTATTCTGTTTTATTGAGACTTGTGTTTTAGTTGAAAGCTTTGATACCCTGTGTAGTCTTGACTAGATAGCAATTCTGATTTGAGGCAGTGTCAGGACAAAATATTATTCTTGGAACAGAAGTGGATTGGTCTGGCAGATTTCAGTTTACCTTGTCTATTGTGTTGTGTTACTTAAAACAATACTTTATGGTATATAGCACCTTCTGAAACAAAAATTGCTTTTGTACCAGTTATCTTATTTTTCCTTTGAATTAAAAATTCAATTAGCACATCTTAATTTTACACATTGAGAAAAGAGTCCATTAAATTAAATTATTTTTTCAATATGGAACAATAAACAGCAATGAATGCACTTCTATGTACTAAGAATTTACCTTTTCTAACAAACCCAATGTTTTCATATATAGAATCCACTTGTTAAGCATGATCAATATTTATAAATCAGGAAATATCTAAAACTTCTAATTTTGATCTAATATAATCCCCTCATATTCCTGAATAACCTGAGAAATTCCAGATCGAGTAGACATGGACAATATATCTACATTTAGGAAGAATATCTAGTGCCATCTTCCATCAATTTTTACTCTTTGGAAATGCAGCAAAGAAATACAACATGTCTTTACAAGTTCTATAGTAGAAATGCTCTCCAAGCATTAGGTTACCTGAAACATACATCTCAATTGATTCGTCTACACCTACTTAAACCACCAAACATTGCTAGATTAGAAAACTGATCTTATGGATAAGTACATACTCTTCTTTAGAATGTGAAGTATTCCTTTCTTGAATAATGAAATATAAAACAGTTAATCCCCAGATGTAAATAAGAGTAGGAGAATGCAAGATGTTGGAGGATTTAAAATGGAGTTTTAGTTAAGTAGATATAGGACAGAAAGAAGAGTAAAAATACTGATTAACATATACTAAAATATTTGTGTGGTTAAATAGTACAAGTTAAATTAAACTTTGAACAATGAAAAAGAATAATAATATACTGGCTAATGCACAATAATATTTTAAAATATTTTTAAACTTCTCAAGTTCATTGGCATCTAGTTAGAAACAATTTATAGCTGATCCACTAGTAGTTTTTCAGAGGCTATAAATCACATGAAAGTAAAGTGGTCATCTCTCTCCCTTCAACACTTAGTGAATTTGAACCTGCAGAGAGACTAGGTTTTTAGATTAGTTGTGAAACTTCCTATAGACTTTGCCACCAGAGACAAAATTAGTATGATTAAATACTGTGAAATAAATTAGGAGAAAAAAGTGAGAAATATAAAACTAATTTCCAAAGGTGTGAAATACCATTTTCATTTAAAATATCTCTATTGTTTTATAAAATGAATCATATTAAGTATAAAATCATGTAAATGATAGAAAAATGGTTACAAATGAACTCTTCTAAGATATGTTGTTGATGTTAGGTGTATGAATCACAGTGACACTAAAAACAATGTATCTCAGTATATCGTACTCTATCCTGTGTTGCCATCACTATCTCTGACATGTTTGATTCTCTTGTTCCAGTTACTATGTCCACCCACCTTGTTGAGGGTCTTCTCTTCTTTTCTTTCACTAAGCCTCCACCTTCCAAAGCATGATGTTTTTCTCCAAGCACTGGCCCCTTCTGACATCTTGCTCAAAGTATGTGAGACAAAGTTTCACTAATCTTTCATACAGAAAGCACCCTGGTTGCACTTTCTCCAAGATGTATCTAAGTTTCTAGCAGCCACTGAATATTTAGCATTATTCTCCAACACCACAATTCAAAGACATCCATAAATCATGCAAATACATCTGCATTGTTTAAATATAATGAGAAAGATGTTGCTGCTCTGTTAGCAGGTTCTAATAATGATTCCTAAGAAGTCAGGGACAATGTGGTATATAGGATGTAAAAGTCTTTGAGGCTTTTTGTTCATCTCCTGCTTTGAAATATGGATTCTATAGTTCTGGAACAAATTTAAGAATATTGTTGTTCTTGTTAAGTGCCGTCAAGTCGCAGGCGACTCATAACAACCCTATGAACGAGAGTGCTAAACACTTGTGTGTCTGTCATCCACTATCCCGGTTCATAGGGTTTGCGGAGGCAAGCTGTTATGGAAGTGGATGCCGCTCCTCCTTCCAAGCTTGTTTTAATCGGGGAGCTTCATCCAACACTGTCCGCCATGGGAATATATTATGAAAAATAACAAATGCTAGACATCATAATGTTGGGCTTCTTCAACACTTGATATGTACTAATGTGTGTGTGTGTGTGTGTGTGTGTGTGTATGACGTAGTCACTAGATTAAGTTGATAAAGTAAAAACCTTCGTTTTCCAAGATATAATCACACCAATCTTGGGTTAGTTGAGTGAAATATGTCTATGGAAGACTGAGAAAAAAAAATATCTTTAAGAAAGATCAGTTCACTATCATGTAAAAATGGAAGCAATTTTAAAATTAATAATGATGATGATTGTAAAAAATCATTCTTATTGTTGTTATTGAATACCATCGAGCTGGAAGGACCAATAGCTGGCCTCCATCAGGCTTTCAGAGACATTTAATTGCATGGAAGGAGATTGCTCATCTTTGTCTCACAGAGCAGCTGGTGGACTGAAGCGACATACCTTTAGGACTGTGGTGAAGTTTCTTAACACTAGCACACTATTTTAAAATTAATTATGATTACAGTTGTAAAATATGTTAGATATAATTAATATCACTAAATTATATGCATAAAAATATTACTGAAAGGGCTAATATTTATTACAAAAATACTTACCACATTATAAGAATAAGTAAAAGAAAATATTTAACAAGTAGATATCACGGATTTGGCCAATTTGTAAGCTGTCAAAGAAGAGATAGAGGTGAAAATTTAGAGAAGTAGCTGAGGAGGAACATTGCCTTTACCACGACTTTGGGTAACAAGAAGTCTAAATGCTTTGTTAAAAACTGAGGGAACACTCTATCCAAAACTGTCCATTCCTCAGATCCTTTGGCTTGTTCAAAAATTAATCAAACCACCTAAGTCCCAAAGTCACCTTTCCAAATGCTTGCTCCACAGTTGATGACATGTGAGTGATTTAAGTATCTAGGAAAATAATATGCAAATTCGAATATAATGATAACATCTTGCATGTTCAAACCTCTAGTAGTAAAGTGGAGTCCCTGAGTGGTTCAAATAGTTGTTTTCAATTGTGACTGATACTTGAAGGGTTGGAGGTTAGAGTCTACTCAGACATGCGTGAAAAGTCTAGTGATCTACTTTCAACCAATCACTTATTAAAAACCTGACAGAGCATAATTCACTTGATATGCCTGAGATCATCAAAATTTGGAATTGACTCTTCACCAGTTGTTTTCATCTTTCTTTTTTTTTTCATTTTCAATAGTAAGAAACTCTTTAGAAAGCATTTACTCTTCTTGAGGAGAAACACCTTCCCAAGGCCTTCTGTAAAGCTCCTGTGACATCTTTGTTCCTGAGACTGTAGATGAGTGGGTTGAGCATGGGAGTGAGGATGGTGTAGAAGGCAGACACAGCCTTGTCCTGCTCAGGCGTGTGGTAAGAATGAGGGAGTACATATGTGTACATAGCAGCTCCGTAGAAAAGGCTGACCACCACCATGTGTGAGGAACAGGTAGTCACTGCTTTCTTCCTCCCCTCTGCTTCACTCATCCTATACACAGTAATGAGGATCCTGGTATAAGAGAAAGAGATGACAGAGAAAGGGATGAGGAGCATCATGATGCAGCAGACATACATGGCAGTTTCATAATCAGATGTGTCTGTACAGGAGAGCTTCAGCAGGGCAGGCACTTCACAGAAGAAGTGGTTAATTTCCCGGGATGCACAGAATGGGAATTGCATGGTGACTGGAGTGAGCAGGAAGCCATCCACAGATCCTCCAAGCCAGGCTGCCACCACGATCAATAAGCAGACTTTGTGGCTCATGAGTACAGGATAACGCAGAGGATTGCAGATGGCAACATAGCGGTCATAAGACATGAGTCCAAGGAGAAAAAACTCAGCACCAGCCAAAGTTAAGTAGAGGAAGTGCTGAGCAGTGCAGCCTGCAAATGAAATGGCCCTTTGTCCTATCATCTGATCAACAAGCATCTTAGGTACAATGGTGGAAATATATAGGATGTCCATGAGGGAGAGCTGGCTGAGCAGAAAGTACATGGGAGTGTGGAGCCGGGGATCTACACGGATGAGAATGATCATAAGAGTGTTACTAGCTATGGAGATCACAAAGACAAGGAGAATGAGGGCGAAAAGGAGCCAGGGAAATGGAGAGTTGCTGAACAAACCCAGGAGGACAAAGTCGTCATACATGGAATAGTTGCCCCACTCCATAGCTCTCTGTAGCCTGCATAAAAAGAGAGATAAGTATGATGGATGAAGTACAGTACAAAAGAAAATTATCTATATTGTTTAAGGCATCTTGAGGTGAACATGGAAAAACCATCCTTGGAGAAATTAATCACATCTCATTGTGAAAGTCTCTTCTTTTTTGTAATACTCCCTGGAGTTGATTACAATTAATAGGTTGCTTAGAGGGATTAGTCTTTACCTTTGTCTCCTAAGCACCAACCCATTTATGAATCTCAAATCTTTCAGATATTTGTAAGATCAGATTGAATAGAATTCCATTTTGGATCATCACATTATCATTCTTTCAAGGCTGAGGTGCTTGCTTTGCTGACTACCACTTTCTTATGTCACTGAGAGAGAATAAGGATTTGGTTTATTGACATTTAGCATTTCTCATATGGAATTCTTTGCTTGAGTATTACTTTATGTAAAGGAAGGTGTACATAAAGATGAAAAGGCATCTGACCTTGTTGTGCTATGATGGAGTGATGGCACAGAAAGAAAGAGTGCCCTACTATTTACCCTCTCATTCCACAAAGCTCTAATTCTTTTTTTTTTCTATAATTATATTTTATTAATTTTCATAAACATTTACAGAGATTTTGGGCTTCCACTCATTCATTGTTGCACTATTCTCTCTACCCTCCTCCCAGTTTGTTCTTGTCCAAATGCCACAGTGCTTGTCAAAGCCAGTTCTGATTAATCTTCTTTGTCAGTGTATCCTTTGCCATTCCCTATCACTCCTCCCTGAGAGAGACTTCACCCTGAGTCATAAGGAAAAGGGGACGGCGTATTCTCTTAGCTACTTCCTGCTGAAAAGGGACGCTGTGGGTTTCAGGGTGAAGATCTTCTCTCACTACTCTAAAGGGCCCCTTTGGCAGTAGGAAACACATAGACTATTATGGAGATTGATTTTGGAATTCAGATGCACTCTTATTGATTGTGCTTGGCTGTACATGTACATATCCTTCAAGATGTATCATGGGGGTGTTGCAACTTAGAAGACACAAATTTGACTAACAAGTTATAAGTACATGAGTCCAAAAATTATGGAAAAGTAAAAGAAAAGATTCTTTCATTGCTTTACAAACCCTCCCCCAGGTCCCCTCCACCATGCAGCCCTCGCTCTAGTCTCCTGTGATGACAGAAATACCCAGTTACATCTCTCTTTTAAACGGTTCTCTCCCGCCTCTGTTTCAGTGCAGTATACATTATTGAACCCATCTTACTCAGTCTCTCCCCAACCCCAAGGACAGTCCCATTTTACAACAGTGGCATCATGTAATATTTGTCCTTTTGTGACTGGGATATTTCACTCAGCATAATGTTCTCCAGAAAGCTCTAATTCTTACACTTTGACTCAGCTTGAACTATAACTTCAAGAATAGAGAAAGAAGATAAACAAGAAAAAAGTAATATTTCAGATCAAGTGCCATTTCTTTTCCTTTTTTAACAGAAAATTATTGATTAATAGCACACAACTCTTTAACATGATTAATGGAAATAATAGTATTGATTAGCAATTCATTAGTAGAAAGAAAACAGAAAAAATATAAAATTACACCAATTTAAATAATAGAGAACAGTCTCCAAATACGAAATTCTTTTTTTGCTTAAGGATAAAGTCAAATGATACATATGTAACTTTTTCAGTTAATTAATGTGAATAGGTGAATATTCAAACAAGTCATATATCATAGTCATACTGTTCATTATGGTAATGAGTTGTATATAGTTAGTGAGCCCCTGTAACAAGAGTGAAAAGAGTTGAGATGTGCTAAATAAAAAGTATACTCTAGTGTCCAAAGAATGAATCTAAAAATACAATGCAATGTAGTTCATTAAAAGGAGTATGCAATGAGGGTTGCAGAGTGGATTATATTTGGGGGTGGGGGGTGGGGTTTG